AATATTTTCCTAAGACGACAGACATAATCGTATATGTTTTCTGTCGTATTGACCATGTCTTTCTAACATTCAACAGCTCTCTGAAATACCCTTAAATTTCTTTGTATTGTATTTACGTGATGCTTCTATTAAATTATTATTATCAATTGCAATAAATAGCAGAAACACACAGCATGAAAAAGTCATAAAACTCTAGCTGCCTCTCCTTTTCGCTGTACATAGAAAATAAAATCTAAATAGCCAGACATGAAAACTAAACTTAAAAATGCAACACTAACGAATACATCCGTTTGCATGCGATGCGTTGTGGCATTGCCGTCGCGGCTTGTCAATTCCAAGCACATGTCTTGGGAGCCCCTTTTCAATCCGCTCTCCCCGGTCTTCTCTACACATTGTTTGTTTTAAGCCGCAAAACGTGCGTCGACTTAGAAAAACCGCCAATGAATTTGTGGCTGACTCGTGTTGTTGGTGTTCTTGTTGTTGTCCTGTCTGCGTCTGTGAACGCAGTTAGCATATAAGCATGCGAATATCTTAAAATGTAATGTATATGTGTACGTATATATGTATGTATGTATATTTATGTATATCATAATCAAGTCGGTCATAAAGCAAGCGGGGTTAGGTCTGTGCTGCAGTTTTGCATAGAGATGGCGATTCAAGTTCGTTGCCTGAGTCTTTTGTTTCGCTGCAAACTTACATAACCGCTGCTGAGACCACCAAAAGCGTTTCGTTCGTTAAAAATAAAGAGCAGCGAGAGCAACGCTATCTATCTGTGCTGCTACATATATAAATTGTATGTTTGTGTATATATGTATATATAAAAATAAATTGAAGACGTTACGGCACAGTTAACGAGTGCCAGCAACAACAGCAACAAAAGGGACAGCACAGGCACAGTGAAAAATGAAAATCAATGACAGTAAAAGACAAATTGTGCGCTACGAAAAAACAGACAAAACAAAGCAAAGCAGCGATCCCAAAAGGAGTTGAAAGAGGAAAAAACGGCAATGCAGTCAAGTCAGAAGTATTATAAACGGCTAACCGTGACACAGGCCAACTAAGCAAGTAGAAGCAGCAGCAGCAGCAACAACATCAACATCAACAACAACAACAACACTAACACACAGCTGAAGTTGTTGCCGATGTTGTTGCAGTTGAGGCTGACGGCAAAGCAAGCGCATGCAGCATAACGAACTAAAATTCAAGGTTCATGTCAGTAACCCTAAGCACAAGTTCTGGCCAACGCCGCCACCACAACACAGACAGACCATCCAGCCAGGCAGTCAGGCAGTCAGGCAGCCAGCACAGCAGTCAGCCATTCAGCCAGACCCAGTCAACCAACCATCCAGCCAAGTACAAGCACAAGCCAAGCACAAGCACGAGCTCAAGAAACAGCAACAACAATAAACATCTGTAAAGTTAGCTTCGGCTGATGCGAATCCATATGTTCTACTCTCTACACACTAACAGTAGTAGTTTTAATTTGATTCCTCATTCAAAGCTGCGTAAATAGAAATGCCTTTAACTACAAAATTAGTTGTGTAAAAAAATTGTATACCAATCAAATTAAAGTGTTACAAACAAAATGCACTGATTTGCACGAAAACTGTTTTGAAAACATAATAATTGCTTGTATAGTGGATTCCATTAGATTTATTTGTATGTATACTCTGGTTTCCGGGTTGAATTCAAATTGCCGAAAGGCTGAAAAAACTTTGGAAATTTTATGAAATATGTGATTGAATTTAATTCCAGATTTTTCCTTTTTAACCCATAAAAGATAATAAAAACTGATCAGAACATTTGTAGAACCACCCAAAATACTTCTAAAATGAATATTATATAGATAAAATTAATTCAATTCATTTGCTCTTCAATGCAATCCTAAAGTCCTCCCTTCAGAATCTTTCTGAAGTTTCCCCAGTTTGGGTTCCTAAACTTTCTTCAGGGTTGGTTGTAATAAAAAAAGTCTTAAAAAGTCTCTATTTCTGATCTGTCTAGAATCTTCCATTCGAGTAAGTTTCCATTCTGACTTTTTCTAAACAAAGACAATTTACTATTATGAAACTTAAAAGCGACGCGTAGGGTATTAAGATGAAGCTGCGTCTACCACATACACTCACACATGCACGCACACACCCAGACTTGAGGCTACATCGCGCTTATGTGGTCAATGGGATGCTTGCAGTGTCTAGTCTCTCTCTCTCTCTCCCTCTCTTTCTCTCTGTCCCTTTCTGGCTAACAAATGAACGGCATGGCAGTAAAAACTTCGTCTACTTTTTAATGCTAAATTGGCGGCCGGTTGTTGTTGGTTTTATTGTTGCTGTTGCTGACTGCAAAACTGCCGACTTGCAACTCGCAACTGCTGGCTGTCCTCTAAACTCGTATGCTGCAAGCACTTTTTCTTATTGGAGCACATGCTGTTTATTATTTGCCTTCGCCGGCACCAGCACCAGCACCGCCAACAGAACCATGGCGTGGTTCGCTTTTATGCTTATTACCACGCATGGATGTCAGTGACTAAGACCGCATGGGTGCTATGGACCTATGCCAGCCATAAATGCAGTCCCTATGGGGGCGAGTTGGTTGTTGTTGATGTCTTGCGGGTGTCGACGACTGACTCAGCAACAGAGTTTCTGCCTGAGGTGCTGCATGGAAAGTTGCAGTTTACTTACACATATACTTGTATGCATACCTTATTTACCTGCAATTATATATTTTTATTTACCAAGCAGCTGTTTGCTAATTGCTAAAATATATAAAGAAGTATTAGCATATGCTTATTTGGTTTGAAGTGGAGGAGTGATTCATTCTTAGTTCCTCTTAAATGTTATGATAAATGCATTTCTAGGTAGATGGAGCTGCAATCATTAATCAAATGGAACTTTTAAATATATCACAAGAATATGGGGGTTATTTAAATTGCTGTTTCTTGCTGAACTTTAAAGATACATTTAATTAAATATATACATATTTGTTTGATTTATCTTTTGGATTCAAATTTTGCAATTTCTAAATACATATGAATATTTAGTTTTTCTTCTCGGGTATTTCTTTTTTGTTTTCATTCCCAATACTATATTTATTCTTATCCCAACCAATATGTATTTCTCTTGGAGCTTACTCTATGAATTTAATGTTTGTTTCTAAGACGTGTAGTATATAACCTTTTTACTTTTTCCTTGCGAAGAATTGGATTGTTTTTTGTAAGCTTTAAAAGCATTTTTAAATAAATACTAGGCGTGGGAAAAAATCTTCCTCTTAGTTTAAAGTAAACCTTTTCAGAAACCGACCACACAAACATCACTTCCTTCTGTTTTAAGAGCTCAATTAAACTTTCAATTGCTGCAATTAGCGCCTTGAGTTTTTGCTCAACTAATGCCTCTTCTAAGCATCTTCCAATTAATGAATTAAGGTTTAATTGCCTAACAACTTTCCAAGAACAAGCCACGCGGCTGTGTCCACGCAACAGGCAGTCAGGTGGACAAGTGGTAGACTCTTTTAGTTGTGCGATTTTTTGTTGTTGTATAACCAAACTCATCATTTATTTATGACATGCGTTTGGCCCCCAACTATGTGTGTCCGAATAAAATGTAATTATATAAGCGAGAAGCCAAAAAGTCAGCAAAAAAGCAGAAATCTTCGAGCCGCGCCTGAGTCTGCGTCGAAACTCTTCTCTTGCCCTTCCCCTTCTAAGCGTGTTACAGCAGCAGCCGCAACAACAACAACAACAAGAAAAGCCAGCCAGAATTATAAAAGATGCGGCCAATCTGATATTTCGCATGGTGTTGGTTGCTGGGTTGGTCCGCCACTGCTGCTGCCTTCCAAGAATGTTTTGATGATTCAGTCAACAAAAAAGAAGAAGAAGAAAAATAAGTAAAAAAGAAGCAGAAAAAAAAGAATCGTATGTAGGTAGACGCTTAATGAATACCTTACTCCATGCTGATCTTTAAGAATTGATGCTGCTGAAAATTACGTTTCAATGATGGCCGCCGTTGATGATGAAACGCGTGAGATATTTCCAATGCCTCAATTCTTTTCGGTGGCTTGCATTTTGCGAATTTCCGCTAGACGCGTACGGTAAATCGAGGCCAGCTAAGCGGATTGCGCACTCGAAGGTTTATTTACCCCGGCCGCCCCAACCCGCCATCTCATTCACAAATCGATGTCGAATTGAAACTGTAAACTAGCCAATGATTCGATAATTAGCAATTGGTTTGTAATTTGGGCTTGGGAAATAGTTCACAGCTAGAGTTATTTAACTAAAATATTTGAAAAAGCAGGGCATGAATCACAAAACAAAGTACAATATATAAATACATAATATCGGTCTGTGTCGGTGTTAACAGCCCTGCTGGTGAGCAATTCGCAGATAAAAAAATATATCCCATCTATGTCTAACAACGCTTAAAATGCTGCCTGTCAATACTACCAGGGAACACTCTCAAGATAGATGGATAAAAGATGGATAGACGACAGATAGAGTATAGATAGAAGATACCTTAGATAAAAGATTGATAGAACATAGACGGAAGATAACTGGAACATAGGTGGACGGTTCTGGAAAGATCGATAGATGAAAGGTAGATGATTGATAGAAAATACACAGAAGATAGTTAGAAGATAAATTAAAGATATGTACATAGAAAGAAGACATATAATCGTAGAAGATAAATAGAAGATAGATAGAAAATAGATATAAGATATTAGCATCTAATTAGGCAATAATATACGATTTGTATTAGAAAAGAATGATAGTTTTAAAAAGTATTAATTAATTCGAACATTAGATATCTTGTTTTAATTTTGATTTAACTTAATTTATTATTCATCAGTTTCCTTTGACCTTTAAAATATGAATTTATACGTTTTCCGGAAAATTTTCTTTCTATTTGCAATCAATATGTACATTATTTTGTGATAACTTTTTCTGCGTAACCAATAAAACAAACATAAATTATATATCTAACAAGAGCCTTTCCTTTATTGACTTTTCTTAGTTGGAGCTACCGCTGTGCCAATTGTTGAGCCTTCGTCTCGTTCCACCAGCATAGAGCCGATAACATCGACGGAGCCCACAACAACACCCCCAAATGTCAGCTTGGATCATCCCGAAGGCACACACATACAACACATACCGTTAAGAGATGAGCATGCTGAGAATGTAGGAAGTTCAACCACCACTGAGCAGCAGCAGCAACAACAACAGCAGCAGCAGCAACAACAACAAAATGAGCTGCAATTCAATCAAATTTCTAGCGAGAACGATGATGAAGCCAAGGAGTTGAATAATTTTCGACATCCGGCAACGCTAATAACGGCGAGCAACAGCGAGGAGTCGGCGGCGTTGTTGTTGCAGGAAAGCGAAAGTGACAGCGACAAGCTGACCACCACAACAACAACAACAACGACGACGACGACAACGACGACTACGGAGCGCAGCGAACAGCGCGATGAAGATCCCTATCATGTGCATATACTGCCCGAGAATCATGAACGCCTGGCCGAACATGAAGATTATCAAATGCTGTCGAGCAGCACTGAGGATGCCCCGACAACAACAGCAACAGCAACAACGACAACAACAACAACTGCAGTGCCTGCTGCTGTTGTGGATGCAGACAAAATTATTGTCAGTGTGGAGAATCGAGCGACGGCCGAGCCAGAAAGCAACCAGGGAGGAGCAGCAACAACAACAGCAGCACCATCACCAACAAGTTTAAGCAACGAAGCGCGCGCACGCGCCATGCATATGAATGAGCAGCAGGAAGAAGCAGCAGAATCGGCAGCAGCAGCAGCGAATAAAAATAATGACAATTTTAATAATAACAGTGACGATGATGAAAAGAAACAGCAAATGGGCAGCACAGAAAGCGCTCCTGCAGTGATTAACATTGTTGAAGGACAACATTTGCAACACTCCAGCGAGACAACAACAACAACAGCAGCAGCAACAACAACAACACCAGCTTCCAACACTGCCAACACAGAGCTGCCAGAAAGCAGCACAGTGTTGGCCTTTGCGGGAGAGGGACGCGCTGCCCATATGGACAACGATGTCGAGCTCTTTGTTGGCCAAACCAATGCCAGTTCATCCACTCATGCAGCCTTCATGGACTTGAGTGATGTTAGCATGGATGAGGAGCGTGCAGACACTGCAACAACGAGTACAACAGCAGCAAGTACAACAACAACCAGTACAACAACAACAACACCAATACCAACAACCACATCATCATCACCAGAGTTGTCCAAACAGGAAACGGAAGTGCCGAAAATCGTGGAAGTCACTGCCACTGGTGACACGATGCAACGCGAATGCTTGGCCAATAACAAGAGCTACAAGGTGCGTATCAAAATGCCAATGTCCGCGACTCACTCCTTCCCCCCTCACCCCTCCCCACAACTCAAACAAACACACTACCGCCCACATTTCAGTCTTCAGCCTTGCTGTCTCTTGCATTTCCGTCGATTCAATTTGGCGCAGCCTTCTGCGCACGCAAACCAATTCGCCTTGTCGTCACATTTCGTGTCTCGATTGCATAATGATGCCAAAAACAAAAAAAATATACCTATATACAAGACAGCGAGAGCAAAAAGACCGATTTATGAATAACACTAGGCAACAAAAATTGTGATTCAGAAAATGATCAGCAATTTAACATAAATAGTGCGAGCTTTTCCTTAATTTTACATAACTTGAGTTCGTCGAGGGTCACCAGTTTTTAATTAAAAAAAATCAATAAATAATAAATAAAATAAAATAATAACTAATAATGAATTAATAGATTAACGTAATTAAATATATAATTGATACATACTCGTAAAAATAATTATAAAATGAAGCATAAACTAAAACGTATAAAAATAAAATAAACCTAAAACAACAGACAAAAAAATACCTAAATAAAAAATTATAAAAAATTTAATTTTTAATTAATAAAACATGAAAATGAATACACAACAAATATTTAATATAATTCAAAAATAAATTATAAATCTTGGTGAAATATGTATCAAACTATGAAAATTTAATAATTACAAAATAAAGTGTCTAAAATAATATACAAAAATAATAAATTATTTTAAACAATTGATATGAAGTGCGTTTACATATAAATGAAAACCAATAAAATAATTTAACATCCAAGAAGTTTTATTTAAAAAAAAAGAAGTAAAATATAATGGAATAATAAAGAATACAAAAATGTACAATTTAATATATTTGGAAAATAATATATGTATGTATAAAATCAATATAAGATTACAAAATAAACATAAAATAATAAAATAAAATCCATAATTTTATAAAATAAAAAGTAAAGGAAAGGTTAAAACAAACAAATTTGCTACAAATATTTGAAAAATTAAAATATATTTCACATAAAATGAATGCTTTAAGAAGAAACAATGGAAAATTAAACTCAATTTTATATTCCTTAAAAAAATCTTTGATTTTAATTTTAATGTGTTCGTCAATGAAAAATTAATTCAAAAATAATATATCACTGCTCTGCCTTGACAAACTTAAGATTATTCAAAAGAATTTTAAAGCTATCATATTTTAAATATACATTTACAACAAATTAATTAACAATTAATGCCAATTAACAACAATTAATGTATTACGAAAATTTAGAAACATAAGGTGAAAGGAGCAACATTATATTTGCCTTACAACAGCTTCTTACCTAATATTAAATGTTAAAATATGTTAGCAATTTTGTTGCATAGTGTACCGTCAATCGAACGACAACAAGTTTGGCCAAAAATGAAACCGGTAACAAAGTTTCGGAAGGTGTCGCAGCTGTGGCTGCTGCTGTGTTGCAGCTCTAAAATATTTTTGCCGTGCACTCTTTTTTTTTTTTTTTTGTACATACATAGATTGATTATTGGTTTTGGCGGGGCTGCCTTTTGGGTAACCACCGCATTTCTTAGTCACTTCTCGTTGTTGTCGTTTGTGCAGCGAAGCAGCAATTATGCAAATATTTGCCACAATCTGCAATCCCAAAAACGCACCTCAAAATATGGCATACCAACAAATTGTTGTACCGTGATTGATGCCTTTCGCAAAGCATTATGTATGTGTGGCTTGGGGCTGTCTGGCTATCTGTCTGTCAGTCTGTCAACAACACCGACAAGACCTTGTTCATAACTGCAATTGGTTGCATTGCTGGCATGCCAAGGAAAATGTCACAAGAATTACAATTGGTAGTTACTTTGCTTGGAGAGCAATTTAAATATGACAAGATTTTATAATGATTCCACAACTGATTTTAAAAGAAATTGTTTCAGCATGGGTCCACTTCTTTTATCATTTCAATTAGTATATATTTTACAAAGTATTTGAATTAAAAAACTCAAAACCAGACTTAATTGGTCCTCCTACAATATCTTCAAAAATTAAGATACTGACCCAAAAGGAAATTTTACAAATATGTCTAAAATTGTTTATTAACTGCTACTATTACTTCATACAAGTATATGTTCAACTAATCTTGTTAGTTTTTGTTGCATAGGTTTTTCCTTCCGCCTAAGAAAAAAATGCAATTTCAATAGTAAACCACACATTGATTGTTTATTGTCAAATTCATTGTCAGATCGCTTCATAGGCGTAATCGATCCATCGAGCACGCCTTGCACTTAGCAAACAATGCACTCATTAATTTAAATAAATAGCTGCACATTGCACGCCTTCGGTTCATTTGGCGAAGCGAAACGTGTTAATAAAGCATTGCACCTAAATGGGCAGACACGAAACGGCGCCTGGACACGGACTGGAGCAATGCCTCAATACATATTGACTGTCTGACCAACTGACCAACCCATTTCAATGGTGTTTGTATGTGTGTGTATTTATTGTGCTTTAATTACACGACATACTCCCATGCTTTGGGTTTCTTTTTGTTGTGGTTTTCATAACTCGATATGAAATAATTTTTGCTTTCACTTTTAATGAACTGTTCACTGCTGTTCGCTGCTACTGTTTTATACTATTTTTATTTTATTTTTGTATCTTTTTTGTTGTTTTTGCAATCGATTGGTGGACACGTGCAGCAAAATGCCGAAGCATGCCACAACAACGCATGCCGAAAATATTTTGCATGGCGTTTTGGTCTTTTGAGCAGCCAAATGGCAAACAACTTATTGCTGCCACACAATTTAATTGGTTAAATGGACCTCAGACAAACTTATACTATATGTATGTATATAATGACTTCATTTTTATGAGTAATCAGAGCTCAAAGGTTTCGCTACAAGAAATTCTTAAGAATAGCGCGCTCATTAGTTAAATTAGATGCCAACGTAATGGGCCATTTAAAGCGGGAAGAGTGTAGAAAACACAAGACGCGATAAAGAGCGTGAAAAGTCACACGTCTAGGGTCTAAACTCGGGATCATAACTAGGCCAAAAGTCTGGCCATGAAAATTGTATATTTTTTAAAGCGAAAGAGTATGGCTTCCACATTTTTGAATTCAAACAAATATTAAGTAGAGAAAACGTATATAAGAAAAATAAATAAACTATTAAGTTTACTTACAACCAAGGAAAGAAATTTATACACCATGAAATAAAACAATAAGAATTCAAGAAAATATGAATATTAAAATCATTTTCTCTCTGGGTTCTCATTTGCAATTGCTGAGAAATTGTAAACAAAAATATTCAAATCAGAACCAAACATGGTGGCCTATACTTAATAAACTATTAAGTGTACTTACAACCAAGGAAAGAAATTTATACACCATGAAATAAAACAATAAGAATTCAAGAAACCTGCCTTTTCAAACCTCAGCAACAAATAATATTGAAACTATGAAAGCTACAATGCAGAAAGACATAATGCATTTCGTGGCTTTGATGGGAAGTACCATGCAGGAACTTTTTTGCAATCAACTAAACATAAGACTACTCCTCTGAATTGCTAATGGTTTTCCTCGCCATAAGGTGGAGCTGTCCAGATTTCTTACCTTCTTATAGGGAACTAGACATAATGCTCCTTGTAGAAATCTGCCTTACTCACTAAATCACGATGCCTGAACTCTGAACAAACAAGTTAACATATTACGTTCACTTTTATTTTATTATTTATTTCAAAGCGAGACTTTTCCATATTTTTACTTCCTGGCCTTGCAATTAACGAAGCAGCACCTTATCAAGGCTTTACTTTACAAAATTAATTTGTATTCCATAAGAAAATATTATACCTTATTAAAAAAGAAGAAAAACTATTTACGGCTATATTCCCACAACTATAAGTTGCTACAAACGTGCTCTAGAAAATGTTATGCTATCTAGCAAATGGCTTACGAATCGTATTAATACGTACCTGTAGATGCAATCAAAACAAAAGACTTAAGCAACAAACTTGTTTGCTGTCAATAAGTTGAGTTAATCAGCTAAAAAAGTAATCTTGACTCGCTTTGCATTTTGCGACGTTGCTTTCGTTGCGTGGGTTTATCCCCCCAGCCAGTGGACTTAAAAGCCACATTGACATATTTGGTTATTGGAGCACTCAGCGCAATTGTGGTCGGTCGCGGTAAGCAGGAAGTGTGTGCGCTGTGTGTGTTGATTGTCTAGACGATTGGTAATCAACAGAGACAGAGACAAAAGTACTCGCAATGATTGATGATGCGCCGACCCGAGTGTCGCAATTTGTGTGAAATGAGTGGAGTGAGCTAAGAAATGAGTTTCGCCAGCCTTTCACATTACAATTGGCATCAATTGTGGCCTAAGCTAGCAATTGGCCTAATCACTCAACTTACGGCAGGCAGCTGCTGTTCTAAGGCCTTACACTCAAAGCAATAAGTGGGATTGTATTTTACTGACAGTCCACTCTCGAAAGAATAATTTACTAAACTCCCCAAACATTATGTTGCTAACCTTTCCATTGCCATTGTTTGTTACAAACAAGAAAATGAAGTCTGTGAAATATTTCCTTTTCTTGTTAGGTGTCTTTTTCCTCGAGTGTACGTCACTTAAGCAATTCTTAAATTTATACTTGTATATTTTTGCAGCATGGCGAGACGATGGAACGGGACTGTGATGAGCGTTGCACCTGCAATCGGGGTGAATGGATTTGCGAGGCACGCTGCAAGGGCAACAGCTATCCGCGGGGCAGTCAGCGGAGCATGGCGAATCCCAATTGCCACGAGCGGGTTGTGGAGGAGGACGAGTGCTGTCGCGTTATGGAATGCAATGAACCACTGTTGGAGCCGAGTGTGCCGGCCACAGAGCTGGGTGTGGGTGTGGGTGAGTTTTTGAACCTTTCTTTCATTTGGAAAGCGAACCATTAATCAGGTTGAGAAGAAGCTTTTGTTGTACTTACACCTTAATAGTAGCTTTGTAGCTTCGTAATGCTTTAACGCTGTGTTCTCTGTACCATTTCATACACCCCATATATGCCACAAACATACGCACACCACCACCCACACACATATATATATGCATATATAAAAATCAGGCTTGACGTCGAAGACGCGCAGCGATTGTCACTACAATGGTGGAGTGTATAAGTTCCGCGAGCGTTTGGAGATCGGCTGCGAACAAATCTGCCACTGCGATGAGGACGGTATTATGAATTGTAAGCCGCGTTGTCCCGAACGGAATCACACGCGTGCCGACAAGTGTGTGTACGTCAAGGATCCGAAGGATGTGTGCTGCCAACTGGAGCTCTGCGATGTTACTCTGGACGATCATGAGCAGCAGCAGCAGCCGACGCTGCACGGCTCCCCCAACAGCATTGGCGAGCCGGATCAGCTGCATCCGCTATATCCAGCCCTCGAGCCGCAGGCCAGAGATGCCGGCGGCGTCAGCGCCAGCTGCACCTTCAAGGGCCTGCCCTATGAGTTGGGGCAGCAGTTCCGCGATGGCTGCGAACAGCTCTGCATCTGCAACGAGCAGGGCGTGCATTGTGCCAAGCTCGAGTGCCCCTCGCACTTCGGCTTAGACGTACTCAATCCGCACTGCATACGCTGGGAGCCGGTGCCTGCCGACTTTAAGCCCAACCCGCCCGCCTGCTGTCCAGAGAGCATGCGCTGCGTCGACAATGGCACCTGCCAGTATGGGGGCCAACAGTTCGATAACTGGTCCCCCATACCCGCTAATCTCACAGGTGAGTCTCTCATTGAGTTCCTACCATTCTCGCATTCCATTCACACAAATCATGCCTCCACACTCCAAGGTTGCGAACAACATTGCTATTGCGAGAACGGAAAGGTGGAGTGCCGGCCTGCGTGTGCGCCAGTCCTGGCCTTGCCGCCCCCCGATCTGCCCTGCCATCCGGCGCAGGCCCGCCTCCTCCCCATACCCGACGACGAGTGCTGCAAGCACTGGGCCTGTCCCCCCGCCGGCCCCAAAGTTGCTGGCCAGGAACACGAGGAGGAACCGTCAACGCCATCACCCCTCCATCCAAATGGTAAATATTCCGCATGCCGCCATTGCATTTACTTTTTTGCTTTAATTCTGCATGCTGCTTCGCATGGCAATTGGGGGCAGTGTGAAGGCGCAATATCTATTTTATTTTTTCTCTGTGTTCTCTTTCCTTTGGTAGGCAGTGTAGACTACATTAGGCGGCATAAGTCAGTTAACATGATACTCAAAATTCATTCCTAAGAGCGAGCTGTGCTGAGACTTTTGAAATCTATTCTGCTAAAGTATTGCCAACGGCTTTATGCGGTTTTTCATAATACAAAAAAATATGTGGTATAATAATAATTTTACAAATATTTTAAAGTATATTCTGCTCAAAAATTAAAAACTGTGCTTAGATTTTTAAGAATTATAGTTATGGCCTAGCTCTTATGTCGTCTAGTCCGCCTTAAAATAGGGCTCTACAAGTATTCTTGCTGTCAACAACATGTTCCCCATTTGAAAGTCATTCGTAAATGCGTTATTCATTCTCTAGTTATACATTTTTATGTGAATCAAATCGCGATATACTATATGTATATGGCCTTTACTTTTCTCTCTAGCCCTCTTCACCCCTCTCTCTCTCTCTCTCTCTCTCTCTCTCTCTCTCTCTCACACCCTATCTTTCGCTGTTTATCAATTTATTTGTTTTTATGACTTTATTTTTGTAACGCTAATCAAACGATCATAAAAAAATAATTCACGCTATGCATTTGTATATAATAATCAAAAAATACCACCCAACATGCAACCGATAACAGAAACAACGACAACGACAACAACAACAACAGCAGGTATAATGACAACAACAACAACAACAACAAATAAAGCGCCGCATAAGCCCACAGACTTTGAGAAGAAAGCGACGGGCGCGTTTTATCCCACGCTCGATGGCAAACCACCCAAGGTGGCTGGCATTTTTGGCTCAGATCTCGGCAGCAAGCCCGAGAAGCACGAGAAACCGCACAAGAAACCACTGCCGCCCACCACACCGCCGCAGCATAACGATATTAAATACGATGTGCATGAGGAGCAGGTGGAGGACGAGCGCGCACCACCGCCGCCACCTAGTGGTGGCTTCATGCCCATACCCCTTGGCCATGGCCACTTCAATGACTATCAGCAGCAGCAACAGCATCAACAACAGCACCACCTGGGACCCTATGGCTTCTATAATCCCATAAAGCCGCCCTACGATGCGTACAATCCCTACGAACCCTACGATCTAAATCCCAACGGCATTCCGCAGGGTAAGCCACCCACACCCACTAGTCAATCGGACCTGTTCAATATATTGGGCGCTGAACAGCCACCCGGCAACCACAAGGATAACCACAATTTGCCGCAACACGTCCGCATCGAACAGATTTTGCAACATTTGCAACAGACCGTGCCGGGCGGACCGGGCGGACAGAAACCACCACAGTCGCCACATCTACCACCACAACAACAACAGCCGCTGGGTCCGTTTGTGGCTCATGGTCCGTTGAATGGCAGCGGCGATCAGCAAACACCGCATTATGTGCCCATCGTGCACAGTGGAGTGCCACCGCCGCCGCCACCACATGGCATCGCCATTGTCGATGGCCAGCCAGTGGCTTATGAGAGTTATCCAGTCATACCGGGTCTGGGTGTGGCGCCCATTCATCAAACGGAGCAACAACAACAACAACAGCAACAGCAGCCAGAGCAGCAGCAGCATCCAACCAGTTCCAGCACCAGTAGCCTCGGTCTGGCCACTCAGGCCAGCGAGCACAGTCTCCATCAGAGCCTGGACAAGCGCCCAACGCAAGCAGGTCGAGCCCACTAGTCTAGTCTAGTCCACAACACTCAGCTTACCGTCTCTATCCACTAGCCAGCTATACTATCCACAGATCAGATGTTAGAAAAACTCTCAACCCAAAAAATGTCCAAGGGAAAACTATTTTTCTAGATTCTAGATTATTATCCCAAAATTAAAGATTTCTTTTTATTATTAAAGACATTTTGTAAAACATTTCACCTCCTATATCAAATACTCATAACAATTATTTTTTAATAATTGGCTAAAAATTATTTTCAAATATGAGGTCTGTAGATTATAGATTTTCGAAAGAGATTCGAAAATATTTTCAAAGTGAATACTTTACATTTTAACTCTTTTAAAAAATAATGTTAGAACTCTGCACGCAGAAAAATACAATTTATATATTTTTAAAAGAAAGCATTAATATTTTTAGATGATATTTATTTAATTTTATAAAAAATGTTCATGCCAAAAATTCAATTTGTTTTAAGAACAATTAAGCAATTGTTTTTATAAAATAACTTTCTTCAATAATCAGATCAGATATTGAATTATGTATATAAAGGGGATACCTATAAAGATAGTTCAGTTGTGGGCTTATTTAATTGCCCTTACAAGGATTTACTTAAGTTACTGTGTGATTGGACTTTCCGATATTCTGTTCTGTGGATTAGGTGGAGAAAAGGCGTCTAGTCTGGACACACTCGAAACTTTACCTCTACTCTCTGCTCTCTCTACAGTATACAACAGTCAGCTCAGGGCACTAACTGTGACCAAAGCAATCCACAAAGCTCACAAACCTCACACACCACCTCATACACCACCACCTACCATTTACACAGGCATCTTGCAACCTCTCTAAACCACTCATTCAATGCTTCTTTTTGACACTAATCTATGGGCATTATCTAAACTCTAAACTCTATAAACCCGACTATAACTTGATTTGAAAATTGAGTGGCTAGTTAATCGCAAATCTTTTCCATTAGGCTTCAACAACAATTTACAACCGGACATTGAGGTGCATACGCTGGAGGCCATCGATCCACGGACCATACGAATTGTCTTCACCGTGCCGCAGGTTTATGTGAACCTGCATGGACGGGTCGAGCTGAGGTATACAAATGGTCGGGGCAATGATACGTCCACTTGGGAACAGCAGATCTTTGCGCCACCCGAAGATCTCATTGCCACTTCTCAGATGGAGTTCGATTTGCCGGGTCTGGAACCTAATTCGCTATATCGTGTGAAGATCACGCTGATCTTGCGCGATTTGAACTCACAACCCTCGAGTGCCATCTTCACCGTGAAGATGCCAGCAGAACGCACTATTACGCCGCCACCTTCCATCTCGGACTACAGACCCGACTTCCAGGACATATTCAAGACCGTGGAGGATCCCGAACTCAATGTCAGCGAAACGAACAGCACGTGGCTGCAGCTTACGTGGAAGAAACTCTCCGACGATCAGCTGGAATATGTCGACGGCGTCCAGTTGAGATATAAGGAACTCACGGGCATGATTTACTCCTCCACTCCGCTCATACATCGCACACTGACCAGCTATACCATCCAGAACTTGCAGGCGGACACGGGCTACGAAATCGGCATCTATTATATACCCTTCCCGGGTCACGGCGCCGAATTACGTGCCGGCCATATGATTAAGGTCCGCACCGCGCCAAAGGTAGATGTCTACAGCTTCGATGTTACGGTCAATGTGACCAAGGTCAAGGCTCAGAGTGTGGAAATTTCGTGGAACGGTGTGCCATATCCGGAGGACAAATACGTGCACATCTATCGCGCTATCTACCAGAGCGATGCCGGCAAGGAGGACTCCAGCGTGTTCAAGGTGGCCAAACGGGATAGCACGACGGGCACTCTGATTATGGATCTGAAGCCGGGCACTAAATATCGTCTCTGGCTCGAGATGTATCTCACCAATGGCAATACCAAGAAGAGTAATGTCGTCAACTTTATTACCAAGCCGGGTGGACCCGCGACGCCGGGCAAGACTGGTAAGTAAAAAATCCCATAGCTCTAAGAAATTAACTGCATAACGAACTTTTGATCTTTGCAAGTCTTGCGTATTTTCGAACGCATCTATTTGAACTTGAAAAACTTTGGTAATTTCCAACATAGCCCAAGAAATTTTCCTTTTTCAAATGCACTTTAAACTGAAAGTTAATCTTTTTTTGTGAACTGTTTGTTTTATGGATAAACTTAGACAATACTTACTGATTGTATATACAAGTATACATATTGTACATATTCTGAACTTGTCGGCGTAGTTTTGTTTTGTGTATTGCTTGAATAATTGGCATTACACTTTTTCATTTTTGCGCTCTCTCTAATCCCTTTCCTTCTCTTTTGACGACTCAGGAAAACTTTTAACAGCGGGCACAGATCAACCGGTTGGCGACTACTATGGTCCGCTTGTTGTGGTCTCTGTTGTGGCCGCGTTGGCGATTATGTCAACGCTTGTGCTGTTGCTGATCATCACTAGGAGGCGTGTCCATCAAACGGCATCCATCACGCCCCCGCGCAAGAGCGACGCTGCTTACGACAATCCATCGTACAAAGTTGAAATTCAGCAGGAGACGATGAGTATGTAACAGGCCGCTGTTATGTTAATTAACATACGCACTCACTGTTAAATGCTTGCAGATCTGTAACAGCGCTGACATACCAACAACAACAGAAGGCAATGATGATAATGATGTTGAGATGAAGATAATGATGATTGGGCAAAACTCAAACTTAAAACTAGTTTAAAATTGTGTTGTAAATATTTAAAAACAAAAAAGAACTCAAACTCAGTGCGGTTAATGGAAAATCGTGAACAATGTTGGATTACGTATTTTTTGGTTCAACCAGAGAGTGAAAGAAATTTGTCAAAGCCATGTTAAATGTGTATTTTTTGTATGCAAAGCGCTTAGCATGTGTTGTACGTAGTTTGTAAGTAAATTGTCCAAAACATAAGAAAATAAGCGAAAAAAAGGAAACAGAAACTCAATTTTTGTTAAACAATTTTGTGTTGTATATAAAAAGTAGGAATTCAATTCGGTAATTGGCCGCCATTTGGGTGTGAATTGATTTGCGCAATTTCTATTTAGCAGTTTCTAATAATTAGTTAGTTAACTTGTAAATTTTAGCTTTACATACTTATTAATTTATAGGCGAGCGAGCAGCACGACTAACAACAGCAACAACAGCCGCAACAACAATGAGAGCCGCACACTTAAATAACAGTCCATAAATATTTAAATTAGCTTTTAAATGTAATGAGATATGCATATAAAAATAATAAACGTACATATAAAGTATATACCTAATACTTGTATCTTATCCTGACTGATTGGGGCTATAATAGCACATTTCTTTTATTAACATAGAAACTGAGTTTCAAGTCGATCCCGTTTGAAAAAAATCAAATTAAATTCAACAAATTCGCTCGCAACGTTGATAAGGCTTTCAGTCGAACACAAATGAACAGCAAATACACAGCTGGCAGGGATTTAAATTATGAGTGAACATAAAATGGCGGGATGATCCTAAGAGAGCATTACGAAATCTGGATATTTTCATATTGGTTGCCTTTCAAATGTAAACAAAAGCAGCTGGAGGAAAGATAGCTGCATGATCCGAACTCCAATGCCCCGGGAATGTAAGTAGGGATGCACCAAATCGCCAAATACCAGGTGTTTAGGGAATATTTCTTATGCAAATCAGAACTGCGTTTATTGGGCACAAAATCGTAAGATTTTCTATTGGATGCATGTGGAGAGTAAGCAAAAATCTGCTGCAACGACTCATTTCCTGTCATTGTTTGCCTTTAAAAAACATGGCCGTATGTCCGTTTCGGGCTATTACTAAATAACAGCAGGCATTCGGTTAATTATGTTTACATAGGAAGATGTTAAAGAATATTTTCAGCTATACTTATCCCTGGTGAATACCAGCCCATACTTAGTTCGCTTAGTCAAATTATCAAGTACTTAAATAAAAGAAGATAAAGGTTTTTATTGTATGTTACAAAAATATATATTTACTTGTATATATATTTGCCGTTAATTCTATGACATTTATACAACTTGAACTCCAGTTAACTAAGTTTTAGATGACTTCACCGTTTTGTTTTTTATGCTGTTTACATACCTCCTCTCGTTTACATTTCATAATTAATTTCTTTTTGTTTCGTTTGCCTTGCAATGCAGCACCAACAACAATATTTACAAGATACACATCTAGAGTTTGCAGTGCAGAGAATTCAAAATTCCACTTTAAATCATGTAATTTAAATGCTTAAATTCATAATTTATATATATATATATATAAATAGAAGCATGTGTGTGTATATATATAAAAAAAACAAAATTATTTGCCAATGCTTGGAGTTGACGTTAAAATTATTGTACATTTTAAAATAATTATATTTTAAATATGGTAGAGTTTCTGATTTTTGTGTTAATTTACATTTACATTTGCGTTTTGCTTTTGCATAAAAGTAATCACTGTTTAGCCTCCGTTCTTTGACATTAAGTTTGTTGGTTGGTTGGTTGATTGATTGGTTAGGTAATGGTTGATGGTTTTTCTTAGACAAGGCAACAACTATAATATTAACAATAGGAGCAATAGCATTAACGATTTTCATTTCAATTAAACTACTTTGTGCTCGCGCTGGCAGCAGTCTCGCTATTGCTATTACTATTGCTGCACTGCTCAATGACGCTGTTGCCTTCGGCTTCGCTGGTTGTAGTTGTTGAGGAATTGCTATCGTCGATATCCTCATCCTCGTCGTCTTGCTCCGACGAGGACTCATCGTCGACTGCATAGACACTCTCGTTTTCAATTAGGCGCATGTCCATGCTATCGAAGGAGTCGGTTATAACGCTATCATCATCTGTCGTTGTCTCATCATCCTGGCCCGATGTGTCGTTGTCCATGTCGTCACCGGAGGGATGTGACGAGTCGTTGCCCGCATCCAGACGCATTTCTTGCATCAGCTCTCTTATCAATTCAGTCTCAATTTCCGAAACGCCGAGCTCTACATGCCGTTTTCCCACATCCATAAGCACGTTCTTCACGTTACGCGCTAACAGACGCAAATGCTCATCGCTGGTGGCCGGATTGGATAAATAGCGTATATAGTCCTCTAGATAGTAGGTGTTATAGTTATCGTGACTCGGTTCACTGGTGGAGAACTGTTGGTGTGTGAGCAGCATTTGATTTAGAAGCCAATTGCGACTCCCCTTCAACACCTCAATCGCATCCCGCACGCACTGACGGCCCAACTCGAAGTTTCTGTAGAGCGGATAGGTTATGACTCGACGCAGGAATGCCACCAGCACATCCTTATAATTGTCGAACTGCTCGAAATAGCAGAAGAGCGGACAGAGGATGCTGCGTGTCCAGCCCGATTCACAGGTGGGCTCATTGTTAGTGGTGCGGACATCGTAGCAAATGGCCAATATAATGCTGATGAGGCCGCAGTCGATTTCGTTTTGCATTTGGCGAGTAATTGTGATTGGCGACTGTTCGGAGTCGTAAACACAGAGATTGTGCAGCAGATGCGCCTGCTCTTGTGTCATGGAGGTCTCATAGATTTTGGGCTTGTAGCGTTGCGGATTCTGATGGCCGGGCGGCACCTGCAGCTCCACAAAGTTCAGCTTGTATTGCTCGCGTGAAAAGCGTTTCATCTCGTCCGTAATACGCTCCAAGCGACGCTGCACGGGACTTAGGCGATAAGGCTCCGGTACACGGCAGGTGACCTTGTCCAGCTATTGGAAGGGAAAAGCTCATTTTTTTTTATATTTTCAACGACAGACAAATGAATTTCGTACCTCGCAGGATTGCAGCGGGCCGCTGTATTTACTGGCATAGCCGTAATTAAAGTTACTGGTCAGCTTGTAGAAACGGTCCTGGCCATCAATTTGCAGTTGGCACTGTTCAGTGATGCGTTTTAGTTTCCATTCCTGTACCAGCGGAGCGTTTTCCTGCAGCGTCTCCGCCAGCGGGGTCATGTGCAAGAAATTGGCAATGTACTCCTTTCGCATAGTCTTTGGTTTGGCTGCTATTGCATTGGCGCTGCCGCCGACGCCGCCAGCGGCCCCGCCTCCCGCATTGGCAGTGGGCGGGGAGCAGGGTATGTTCAGCTGATAACAATTATCAACGGTGGAAAAGTTTATGTTCAGCGTTTTCAGCTCCTTTATGTCAAATGCGCGGCGGCTATGGAATCTGCACGCACATTACAATTATTATAACAAACAACATGCAATAAGTATTATATATATTATATCCACTCACTTGTGTAGCTTGTATGCATAAAAGTACAAATCATTGTCATCTATAAAAACATCGCAGTTCCTTATGCGATCCAAAAGCATGCTGATGTTGGCTTCCGTTTCTGGCGGAGTGGCTGGCGTGCCCGTGTCCGGTTTTTCCTTGGCATTTGAAAGTGGTATCACAATGCTGCACATATTTCCTAGATAACTGTGTGTAACCTGTCCAGTCAGCATTATTTTACAATTTTTAACGCAAATTTGATTTGTAAATAGACTTGTAAATTAGAGGTGAGCAATATTTATGTGCCTGTCACTGGTTCGCTGTGCTGACAAATTCACAAATCACACCCAGTGATAAAATAATAATTACATCACAAACGCAAAATTTCACAGTTATTACAGTTGCTGCCAGCCCTGGTTGCAACAGTTATAAAAACAAAATCATTGCAATTCCATTTGAAAATGAATTTGCACAAATCACAAATATAAAAATATGAATCACGATTGAAGACTTAATACAATATGTTTTTTAAAGCAACAATAAACATAATTTAATAAAGAGGTTACAAGACAGTTCTAAAACTGTTTTCTTGAATACCGCGATTAAATATAGTTTTCAATAGACTTTAAGGGAAACGGTGGGAATGAGCGATAAGAGTAATAGATTGCAATTGCAGATATATAGTAGGACAACACTGCATGCTTATTACTGTGAATGTTATTTTTTGAATTGAGCGGGAAAAAGTTTTCAAATATTCCCATTGAATGAAATAATACATGAAATAATCTTAAGAGAGTTGACATGATATAAGAGTTTATAATTTTCGAACACTTCTCTTACATAATTAAATAGTTTAATTATTTTTGAAGAAATATAAGAGTTTTAAATTATTTGAATTAGTTAGTATACTTTTATAGCTTACTAAATGTATTATGTGCCATTTTTATAATTTATTATTAATTTATAATTATAATTAATAAATTTTTTTTTTCAATTTCATTTTTATTTTAAGATTTGTTGTAAAGTAAATTAAATATAATAATTGTAAATTGTTTAAATTAATTGCTTACACCCATTACTGTATTAAAGCATTATGGAATATTGTAAAGAAATTGGCATTTTATTATAAGAAATAAGACAACAATTGAATTATTCAACTGCATTCAAATTTTGTGTCGTTACATAAATAATAAAATAAAATAATATAATATACTTATAACATATAAAAATAATTATTTAACAATAATAAGCAAAAGTTTAAAATATTGATTTATAAATGATTTCATTTAGAAAGTATTGTACACATTAAAGCATTTTGTTTGATTGCAGTAAATAATAATAATAAGTAATAATAATTGAACATTTGACTGACCCATCAACGCCCAAATCATCCCCCCACCCAGCAACCCCTAATTGTGGGCTTACGGGACGCGTACCTTTCTTTACACAAAGCGTCAGAGCGTCGAAGGACCTCAGAAGTGGTCGACCAATCATAGAGCAAAACAATGATTGTTTACAAATTGTTAACACATTTGCGGCCAAAGCGTTGTCACCTCTGACATGTTACGCCCAAAGTTCGTGCTGTTGTGGGTGTGGAAATCGCTAAATAAATAAAAACTACAAATCATGTGGAAACACAATGCACATCGAGTAGTTTGAAGTGCTTTTGATTTGCATATCATTTGTGGCCAATATTGCTTGCAAGGCTATAAAAGTGGCGAGGACTCTGTGCTAGCCGCTCATTTCACTTGAACTCTCTAGTTAGTATGTCGCTTGTAAGTCCAACGGCGGTACTTTATAGCGCCTGTCGGGTGTGTGGGGATCAGAGTTCGGGGAAACACTATGGAGTATCCTGCTGTGACGGCTGCTCCTGCTTTTTCAAGCGAAGTGTCCGCAAAGGCACTGGGTATGCCTGCATAGCCGTCAAGGGGAACTGCATTGTCGATAAGGCCAGAAGGAATTGGTGCCCTTACTGCCGCTTCCGGCGTTGCCTGGCCGTGGGAATGAATACGGCTGCCGTTCAGGAGGAGCGTGGACCGCGGAATCTACAGCCCGCCGCCAGTGGCAGCAATGGACGCGTGCAGGCGCTGGTCACGCCCACAGCCTTGCATCCTACTGCCGGCCACACCTTGCCCTTTCAGATACTCGCCCAGATCCTGGTCGCCTGTCTGCGTCAAGCCAAGTGCAATGAGCAGTTTCGGCTGCTAGAAAGAGCCCAGCAGGACGCCATTCTGCATGTGGTGTGGAGCGAGTGCTTTGTGCTGCGCGCCTCCCACTGGTCCCTGGACATCAAGTCCTTGATCGAGTCCTGTGGAGATGTGCAGCTGAAGCGTCTGATAGCCGAGGCGCAAGAATTGCGAGCAGATGTTCTTGAATTAAACTTTCTCGAGACGCTCATACTGTGCCGCAAAGGTGAGTTGGAAAAAAATTCAATATTATATTATATTCAATATATTATGATGATTAAAGGAAATAACTTCAACAAAAATTTAATATTTTAAATACCCAAAAATATTTTATATAAAAACTACAACAAATAATTAAAAACATATTACAATAAAGCATAAACAATTGCTTTAAATTGTATTTTTCTTTATTTGCTTTTATTTGTTTTTAACCGTAGAGAGATTATATTTACAATGCATTTTAAAATTTAGTTAGCAGCAGTCAATTCTGCGTAATTACAATTATCCTTTTTGAACCAATATTGTAGAGCTTGCACTGAGCCCGGAATACGCGATGGTGCTGGAGGCAGCCGGAAATGGAGCTTTGGCCTCGCTGGCTCGTTATACGCTGCAGCAATCGAATTGGTTGCGTTTCGGGCAACTGCTTTTGGGTTTGCGACAGCTGTGTCTGCGTCGCTTTGATTGTGTGCTTTCCTATATGTTTCGCACGGTGGTTAGAGATATTTTAAAAACGCTATAAACGCAATAAAACACTTTAATAATATTGCTGCATTTTTATTGAAAAATGAAGTTTAAAAAGAAATGAAAAATGCGCGGTAACTATCCGCTTTACGGCGAATGGCAGGTGAACAGCTGTGCGGCCACTTGTGTTCCATGTCAAGCATTTCGCTAGTGAACGCCGTGGAAACGGAACACCGCGTCAATTTTGTTGTCTGCAGAAGTTGACAAGTTTTCGTATTTAAATTAAAGATATAATTTAGCACAAAATGGCGGATGACACCAACGAAGATAGCTGGCTATATGGCAGCTCGAATCCCGACTCTACAACCAATGAGCCACCCACGGAGGCGCAGCAGACAGCAACAGCCATCGAGCACGAGGCTTTGGCTTTGGCCGCCGTGACCGGCGAACAACCAGATGCGTTGGGTACTTTTCCAAAAGATGAGGTGCCGGACTATGTGGAGTTTGATGATCCCGCACAGGAAATGGAGGAGGACGACGCGGTGGCACTGGGTGGCACGTTACCGGATACAACGGATGGCAACTCGCGTGCGTCTCGTGTCGATGGTGATGAGGGCAGCTGTGGTGCAAGGACAGCTGAGGGCGAGGAGGAGGAGGAGCAGCAGGAGGATGAGGAAATGACGGACGCGGGCGGGGATGAAGGCATGGCGGGAACGCGCAAAGAGCGTACGGCATCAGGTTCCGATGAGGACGACGATGATGATTCCGATGATGACATAAATGTGGTAATTGGTGACATTAAATCTGCCCCAAGCACGTACAACATTAAGCAGCGCCCTAACTTGCTGGTGGGCGCATCAGCGGCGGACAAGGCTAAGCCCGCGGGCCAGGGTGGCAAGTTCAGTATCGAGGATTTTGAGGGCGCCGGCACCATAAACGGGGTGGCTGTGCACGAGTTCAGCATAGATTCGCTAGAGGAGAAGCCGTGGCGCAAGCCTGGCGCGGATATAACGGATTACTTCAATTACGGTTTCAACGAGGAGACGTGGCGCGCCTATTGCGAGCGTCAGAAACGATTCCGTGTGGTGGAGAGCGGCGTTGGGCTCGCCAGTCTAACACAAAATGTCAATCAGAGTGCACAAATGGGACCGCCGGACGGTAATGGACCGCCCGGCATGGGTCCCAACATGCATCACAATCAGATCACCAGCATAGGCGAGGGTTCCATGCAAATGCCGCCGCCTGGCATGCCACCACCAGGCATGATGCAACAGCCCCCTCGCATGGGCATGGGAATGATGCAACGACCGCCACGGCCCATCATGACAACAACGGGGGCCAAGGAGAATGCCATACAAGTGATGACGGCCGAGTGTCGCGAATATTCGCGCGCGCAATTGACTCCAAACTTCCCACCGCCCGGCGCCGCCGATGAGGTCTTCTCCTACGAGCCGGAACCCTTCGACTATGGCTATGAGCCCACGCAGGAGTCCCAGTGGGGTAATGACAATCCCGGCTGGGTGCCCACAGGCATCAAAGAGCTCACCCCAGGACCCAGTCACATGCAGCAGCCACCGCCACAATTGTCCGGCCCACCGGGCATGCCGCCGCAAATAATCGGTCCGCCGCCACAAATTGGACCACCACCTCAGCTACGCGGACACGCGCCACCGGGCATGATGCCACCGAACATGCGCATGCCACCCAACATGAGTAAGTGCAGCCAATGGAGAAAGATTTCATTTACTTTTTTGTATTAAATTGTGAATCTTCCGTTCAGATATGGGTCCTCCGCCGGGCATGCCTGGCATCATGATGGGACCCAATGGACCGCCGCCACAGATGCGAATGGGCATGGGGCCACCCCAACGCATGCCTATGGGCGGCAATGGCAGCAATATGCCTCCCACTTCCCAATCCAGTAGCGAACGTGGCAACTACGATGACGAACGTGAGCGGCGGCGGCGTGAAAAGGACAAACAAATGAAAAAAGAGCAGGTGAGCAAAGAATTCCATCTATTTCCTATATTTAAAATAACTTGTTCCTCCATCTAATAGTTGCGCAAGGATTTCATTGATATGTTGCGGGAGCGGCACGATATTGAGCGGCACACACGCTGGTACGATATAAAGAAAAAATTCGAGGCGGATCCACGCTATCGCGCCTTGGACTCGGCATATCGCGAGGAATACTTTGAGGACTACTTGCACATGCTCAAGGAGGAGAAGCGCAAGGATCGCGACCAAAAGGAGCAGCGCGATCGTGATAGGCAGCGTGACAAAGAACGCGATAAGGAGCGTGAAAAGGACCGCAGCGAACGGGACAAAGATAAGGACAAGGAGAAGGATAAGGAGCGTAGCAGCTCGCGGCGAGAGGGTCGGTCCAGATCGCGCGACAAGTCCAGTCGCCGCAAATCGAAATCTCGCGAAAAGGAGCGCAGCGAACGGAGCAGCAAACAAGGGAGCAGCTCCGCATCCTCGTCCAGTCGCAGTGACAAAAAGAAATCGCATCGCAAGGACAAGGAGGAGGAGGAATAGCATTTTCACAGATACTATATGGAAGATGATCGGGCAGGCGATGAATGACTTCAATCTAGAAGTCACTGCAAAAATACTTCCAATAAACGAAAAGTTAAATCCATGCCACCCATAACTTGAACGGGCGATTGTTTCATTTTTATAAGTTATATAAATATTGGAAAAAAAATGTTTAAGTTGTGCTGTTTTTCAGCTGGGGAAGAAGTCCGTGCTTTAACTTTTGATTTAAGCTTTTTGCTACATTTCTTTAAATTTCAATTGTTTGTTTGCAGCGTTTCAACCGTAGAATTTAAAGCTCAATCATGAAAGCCACACATAATCCCCATTCAATGGCCTTATTATCTGTTAAAAATGGGCCGACATTGCACGCTCTCATTGCCACTTATTATTTATGTAAAAGCCATAAAATCAGTGCATTAATTGAATAATTCGATTCGTTTCAGTCGACTACGCAATACCCAATACATCAGTCGAAAGGAGATTTTAACAGCACGGTCATTCGCACTTTCACTCACAGTTCTGTAAAATTCGGATAGGTTTTAGTGTAAAAGTGTCATCAGGGTTTTCTTGAAAGGAAAGAAAGTCTAAAAAAAGCTTCAACAATATGCCAAATAAATCAAATAAACTCGTATTGCCGTGCGATTCATAGGGCTTAGAAGTATTTATAAAATTTGGTGGATGTGGGTTCCACTGTTTCCGAAATCCAAGCGTTCATACAGACGGACAGATGAACGGACGAACAAACATAATTAAGCGGATTCACGTGTCTTGACATGCTAAACACACTTTATGGGGTCGGAGATGCTTCTTTCTGTTACATACTTTGCACAAACTTAATATATCTTTTTTCCATCGGGTACAGGGTGTAAAAATAGTCTTCGAGAAGTTGAGAAAAGGGTTCCTTAAATCGTATTTGAGAGAGGTTAAAAGATACGCGTGGCTTTTGAGACATACTTACGCTAAACAAGTTGGAAAAAGAGTTTATTAAATAGTATGTATTTCGAGGTGTTTTGAGAAAAGATAGAAGCTTTTAGTGGTCGTGTATTAGTAGGGTATCGAAAACCGCAACGTATGCTTGACCGCCACGGTAAGTGCCGCCACAATATTTGATCAGGTAGTATGAATTCTACTTTTTTTAACTTCATCAGACGACAGCCGTTTTTATGTTCGATTTAAAACAACAACCATTTAATATTAAGTTTATGCATTTATTTATTTGTATTCAGTTGAGTTTTTTATCCCATTTCATATTTGTTTTCAATTTTTTCTTTCTGGTTGCCATTTGGCCCGACGCCTATAAATATGCAATGGAATGAAGTTAAACAATAGTTGAGGTCGAATGGCTTGCGCCTGTAAATTAAATAAATAAATAGCTGAATGCATGTACAACCACAGAGGAGGCATGTTAATTAAAATCAGGCTTATGCATAAGTGTTTGTGGGTATTTTAAATGCCAGAAGTGAAGTGCTGAATATTTCATATGGTTTGGCTATGAAATAATTGACATTTTTCTTTTTTGTTGCCATGAAGTGAAGAAATTAAATGAAATTATAGGCGGGAAGTGATGGCGATTGTTCTTAAAAATCTAATCTTAGGCATATTATAAAAGTTGGGTTTGGTAACTACAAAGTTTGTTGGCTTCAATACAAGTGATAATTTTATTTGATCATATTTTTATTTTTCGATTTAAATATCAACATTAAGTTTTATTTTGTTTTGGCTTTACGTTGAGAATCTTTGAAACGGTTTCGATTTTTATTTATCGCTTACATTAGGGACTGATATTGGTTTTAGGTGTCTGTTTATTTAGAATATTTTCTACTCATGAATATTAGACACACACAGTATTTTTTTTTTTTTTTTTTTTTTTTTTTTTTTTTGATTTCTTGACTGCATTTTATAAAAATTTTGGAAATACTTTCAAATATCGCAGCCGAAAAGTCAGTGATTTGCACACTTATATAAATGTGGATAGATAAAAAAATGAATCACTGTGAATCAGTGACCGAAACGCGCCTGAATTTGATATAACTGATCAGTTTTACACTTAGTTATGCACTTGCCATGCTCTTACTATATAAATACTTGTATGTATATATGTATAGGTATAGACAATGATTACAACTATTTTACTGTAGGTATAATATCCCTCAATTATTTCTCTGTTCGCGATTCTTATACGTTTTTCTCTCATTTAGTTTATCATTATTTATCAATAAATAGCAACGATTGTCTTTAGAAAACTAAATTCATGTACGCCCTTCTTATCTGTAGTATAATAATAATAGGTATTTAATTCTTATAGTTCCGTTTAATAATACATAACGTTTCCATATACGAGTATACAAACACATATATGTATGTATGTGGAATAATTCTCTTTAATTCAAAAGGAACTTTAATTATTACATTTATAATTGAAAACGCATACTTCGTAGAACCCAGAAACAGCCAGTTTAATACGATATTTTTTTTATACATATATGTATGTATATTTATTTCGTTTACACTTATTTGTGGCATCAATGGAAGTCAGTACAAAAAAGGTTCACTGCTTTTTTTCTTTTGATTTTAGGCATGCATTTCAGATTATTTTTAAAACTAAGTTGGAATTTAAACTACACACAATGAGAGAAATATTTAATAGTATGTCCTTATGACACTAGACTTGGGACTTAATTTGAAGAAACTATTGCAATTTTAGAATCGCACAGCAATTACAAACTCCTTAAACTTTTATTTAGTATAAAAGAGGTAACATCTTTTGACAACAGTATTGCACTATTTGGGTTTTTATTTGTTTTTAAATTTCGTTCTTCTCGCTTTCACTCTTATAACTTGTAGTCTATTTAATAGTCTAGTGTCGTCACAAGAATGTAAAACCTTTGAGAATAGTGTTAGAATACCATATAAAAAATTTACTAGTTAATGCTTTGTTCGCCTATTGAACCCCTTGGCTTTCTATTTGGCACATAACAAGAGATAAGAGAAAATGGTACTTTATGAAAAGCCTATCTTGTGTAAGATTAACTGAATTGATGCCTCAGACTTTAAAATTGAAATGAAGCAAAGGATAAGTTGCACTTCAAATTAATAGACTAAAGAAATTAATGAATGTTTAAAATTAATTGTTTAAAAATCGATTTTGGGCTTCGCAGATTCAAGTCCTAGCACATGTTTTCGTTAACTATAATATTTCAAGTGTTACTTTTTTTAGCAAACATTTTAATGATATTTAAAAAAAACTATCTAAGGAATGACTTCTTAAAATATATTCACATTAAAAATTGACATAACTAGAAATAAATAAATTATAAATAAATTTAATATTTTAAAAACAATTAAAGAAAAATAAATGATAGTAAAGGTTAAAGTTTTGAGGAAAAAATCTGTTATTCTGTTTGACTAGACTTGCGTCATGTTGTGAATTTCTTCGAAAACAAAACAAGTTTAATAAACTTAATAAAATCTTGAAAATATTGTTTTTGGAAACCTTAATATCTTTATGCAATCTTTTCGAAAATCAGTTTTTATCTTCCGATATGAAAGTCAGTTGTATTCTAAAGGGAATAAATAATATTCCAGCAAAGTATATATAGAACTTAATTACCTTTTAAGAAAGGAAAAACTCTATGAAAATCAACAAATTCTAAGCGATCATATCGACATTTTGTAGAGTTTTTAGAAAAAAAATTTCACTAAAAATGGTTGCGAACTACAGACAAAAATATATATTTAAAATATATATTTTAAGCAAACAGATATAACGTGAACATTTTCTTGTTTTCTCAAAACAAAGTCACTAGAAATGTTTGTAGCTCAATTTTAAATTAAGTGAGAATGTTACGAGTAGTTTCAAATTGCAAATCTATTGAAAAGTTTGTAAATATGTGTAGCTTATAAAATGTGTGGCAAGTATGTATTATGCATTTTATGTTCCACATATCCAACATTGCGTTTGCAAACATTAACTTTTAAACGGTTTTTTGGTTTTTTATAAACTCTGCACTCTAGATTTGAACTAAATTGTACTTCATATTGCTGCTGGAACCAAGTTTTCTTACCCCGAGGTACTGACTTTGCTTTTTAGCGACATCACATCACAAACACACACTCACACACTCTTAATTCACACCTCATTCACACCCCAAGATAAACAGCCACACAGATAATTTCGTAATTCATTCATTCAAGTGTAGCGAAGGGCAACTTTTTAAAAGTGACCTTCGACCTAAAGCTTTTCAAATTGCCGGCCCACACCCATTCCCTTAAATTGTGCCCTATCTGCTCAGCAGGGTCTCCACATTCAATGTCAGCTCTGGCGCCCGATGCATCTGCTCCGGTTCCTCATTATTGTTGGCATTGGCATTGGCATTGGAATTGACGGTTACTGGAAGAGGGGGAGGTGCGTTCGCATTCGGATTGGCATTGCGGGGCAGCGGCGAGGCCTCCGAGGTGAGGGACATGGTGGCGCGAAAGGCGTGCAGACCGTTGAGTGTGCGTGACGGTGCCGGTGAAGTGGGTGCGGAGAGCATGGGCGGTGAGGTGGCGCTGAGGCGCGTGCTCATGGCAAGTGGTGGAGGAACCGGCGGCGATTGCGCTTCAAGTGTTGACGGGGGACTGCGATTTAGATTGCTGTCTAGACTGCTGTGATGCTGCGAGGATGCTGGCGATAGCGGTATCTCTTCAATCTTCTCCAGATCCTGCGTGATCGAGGTAGAGTTCTGTTTGTGGGCGCGCGTCAACGTTGTCTTCGGACTGCGCACTGTTTCATGAATCATGGGTATGTCTAGCGTCGACGACTTCGTTGCATTATGCACCAAAGCCTGGTAGTTGGCCTGCAGTGAGGTCTGATGATGCTGCTCCAGCTTCGATTGCTGATCATCCCGATCGAGACTGAATTGACGTCTCAGCAGACGACTGGAGCCGGGCTTGCTATCAAACTTAGCCGTACTGCCGCTGTGGGAGCAACCTCCGCTGCCCGGTCCGTTGGCGCCACTGCCAGCACCGCCGGCACTACTATAGAGGTACTTGCCATCGTAGAATTGCGTCAGATTGCTTTCGCTGGGACTGAGGCATTTGTAGTGGTTATACGGGGAGCTGAGATCCATAATCTCCTCGATTTTCTTATACAGACGGGAGCTGGAACCACCCGTCGAGTTGGGCAAACGATTAAAACTGTTCGGATTGAGGAGATTGTCGGGCGTCAGTTCGGAAAGTTTTCGCGACTGCGGACTCGTGCTTGGCGTTTTCGTAGGAAACTCTGGACAGAGCGTAGGATTCGGACTGATCGTGTTTGTCGAATTCGAATCTAATGAGTAGGAATTGGGGAAATTGCTGGAGCAGACGTCTACATTGGTCGGTGGCGTTATTTCAACTTTCACCTCCACAGACTCGCCGGCGAGCGACGAGGATTGTGAGGAGGAGGGATTGGTGCTCGTACGTGATTTATTGGCCTGCGCCTTAAGCGTTATGGAGTTGCGAATTAGCGACTCATCCAGTCTGTGAAAAGTCAAGATTTATCATAAAAAATGTTTAATACGAATAAGAAAAGTAATGCTAGAGGTTTTCAGCACCTACCCATGTGACTCCCTGAAGGCGGGCAGTGAAAAATTTAAAAAATAAATTCACAAGATTATATAAGATTTTTCAGTTAACTTGGAAGTAATTGTGCTGTGGTTGAGGCCTTTGTTTTTGTTTTCTATTACTAGTTAATCATTTGTTGAGGAACTCACCCAATTGGCGGTGGGGCAGGCAGCTGTTTATCAAAGCCTTTTTTGCCCAAGAGCCAGAAGGTGTTCATCATGCCCTTGCCCTTGATGTCAATCAAGCCGCGCGGCTCAATGGCATAACCACCGCGAGCCTCTAGACGATCCCGCGTCTCCTGCGACATGTGAATGCGCCACGAGGAGCCTATTTAAAGGAAATGTAGCTTTTATGTAGCAGACGTTGTTTTAGAGAAATTGCGAGCAACTCACCTGTCGACTCCATTCTAGATGCCGTATTCACGGTGTCCCCAAACAGACAATATCGAGGCATGGTCAGACCCACCACTCCAGCACAGCAAGGACCCGTATGTAGTCCGATGCGCAGTTGGAGCGGCACTCCCGGCAAATGCTTCACATTGAAGCGTCCACTCTGATGCAGCAGATCCAAGGCCATGGTAGCGATCTGCTCGGCGTGATCGGGAATTTTGACTGGCACGCCACTGACCACCATATAGGCGTCGCCAATAGTTTCGACCTGCGAGCACAGAATCTTTGTTCAGACGAAACGCCTACTGGCTTGGGCCATTCACTCACCTTATACACATTATAGGCGTTAATGGTGGCATCGAATATGGTATAGAGATCGTTCAGTAGGTCCACCACCTGCACGGGACTGCAGTGTGCGGCAATTGTTGTAAAACCAACAATGTCGCTAAAGTAGATGGTCACATCGGAAAACTCCTCGGGATCCACAGCCAAGCCCATTTTTAGTTTTTCGGCAACGGAGCTGTGGCAAATGCGTAAGTAGATTATATATTACATTATTATATAGAGATATAGGTATCTAGCCAGCTACCGTCTGGCATTTTTCCTCTGCTAGGAATATTCACGTATATAGTATAATATCTGTTTGATCTGTAGATTTCATTTCTAAGTTTAATCAATAACCGGCCAGAGAAGGTTCTTAGAAGGATTTTCTACATTTTGGGACTAGTATTTCTTATTATATGGCTCTGGGAGCTGAACAGTTCTTACCTTGGCAACATGCGATTTAAAAGCTGCTCAGTCTTCTTTCTTTCAATGTCCAATTGTTCGGTGCGCTCGCGTATGAGTTCCTCTAAATTGTTGGAGTATTTCTCCAGCATTTGAAACATTGTGTCCACAAAATTGACCTTGCGGCCATGATTGAGCATCTTAAAGCGCTCGTAAACGCTAAAAGAGAGCTGAGTCAGAACCCCCATTCGGTCCTTGGTAATGCGGTCTACTTACGAATTGAAATCGGGTCGCATTTCCGGCTGTTCGGCCCAACATTGACGCATGATGTTGATGGCTTCCGGGGGCGCAGCACCTTTTGATACCGAAGGGCGTATCAGTGGAGGTGGTTTCTTGATTTTGGCAATAATTTCTTCAGGCGAGAGCGAGAGCATGCAGTATGGTTCGCCGCGAACCACAACCTCCTGCATAATGATGCCAAAGGAGTAGACATCGCCCAGCTGAGTGCCCAGCATGACTCGGCTATGGTGGTGATGATGTTGTTGCTGAGACTTCATGGTTCTGAGTAGCTCTGGGGCCGTCCAGAGCAGCTCTTTGGCGCTACGCGGCACTGGTGGTAGACACTGGGACTCATAGAAGGAGGTCAGACCGTAGTCGGTGATTTTGAGAACCCAGCGCGCGTCCACGACGCAATTCCGAGAAGTCAGAGTGCCATGAACCCGCAGGGGCGAGGCGTGCAGATAACGCATGCCACGCACCAAATCCGTCAGCAGGCTTAGACGGAAGGACCAATCCAATTTGATTTCGTCCATAATGAGAACATCCTGCAGAGAGCCACGTGAGCAATAATCGAAAACCATGGCTGTGCGATTGGGATCCGATAGCCAGCCAATTAAAGGATTTATGTTCTCATGTCGTAGTCCGTGTGCTATCACCAATAAGTCCATTGCCTTTGACCGCAACTCCGTGGAACCGTTCATCGGTATTTCCTTTAGCTGCACCAAATCCCCATTATACCGCGCCCGCATATCCAGGTGAGCGGGCTTATGGCGTGCCAAGCTGCCAGCGGCTGAGGCGCTCTTTCCAGCCACCTTCACTGTGGTCGTGGCTACGGCGGTGGTGGTGGTGCTGCTGGTGGCTGCGTTGCTGGTAACTGCCGGTGCTCCCGGAATAACAAATCCTAGATTCTTCAGTGAGCCTATTGAGCCCTTCAGTAAGTCCGGCTTATCCACCTCGGGACCGCCGAATTCCTGCAATTGCTGCAGCCAGCAGCAGAGCATAGCCTCAATGCCCTCATCCACCTGAAAGTTTTGTTTATGACTTGGATATGTCGGAGAAAAAAGGACTTAGGACTCAGGATACTTACACGCCGCGAATCGACGGGAAATACAAAGTCACTCGCCGAGAGCACAATCTTGTTGGGCCCCTTTGAGAGGCGTTGGCGTAGCAAGTAGTTTCTGGGAATTAAATGAGAGAAGAGAGTTATTAAGTTAGCTTCTAAAGATATGGGAATGATAGCAAAATACAATAAATTGCTACTCAATTATATATTATTTCATTTATGTTGTAACTTTTTATTTTCCACGAGTCGGACTTAAAACAAAAACTTTCATTTCATTCGCGTTAATTTTGAGTTTTCGCGGCATTAGTTATCGAGGCGCGACTGTACTTCCGCTGCCACAGCAACATGCCTTTGCATGCACAGTTAAACTTATTATCGTTCTCCTTCTGCGCTCACCTCTTCGAAACACGTTCACTTCAACATCCAGCCGCAAAAACTTTGACCATACAAACAGAAGAGAACAGCCGCTTAAACGGTACTCGTGTAAATTAAGCTCAATTAACTGGTACATCAAATCTTGCACACTCATGGCTCCACTTCGGCACACTGACCTCCTTCCTGCTCCACTCTTGGGGGTCGCTTTTAGGAATATTGCATGTAATCCACAACCATTAACCCAAGCCACCTTTTCACCTGTGCCGCACACACACACACACACATACACACAGATAGTCGTTTACCATAAAAACTTTTTACTATCAACTAAGACTAGTATTACGAATACTTACAACTAGTTGCAGTGGCACGGTATAGTCCCCGCAGAGGGTAAAAACCGCAAATTCATGCAACAATTGTTATACCAGAACTTTGCCACGTGTTGTGGCATTGACGCACTGAGGAACTGAGACACATTAATGGACCGAAGGAGGACACCCACAGATGCCTTCGGCCAGGACAAAGTTGCGCCTTGCCATCATCGGCTTAAGGGCGCTCAACTCTTTAGCTACACGTGTATCCGCTGACCACAGCCCTCCAGCCCTCCGCTCCCCAGTAAGACTGCTCTGTTCATTCAGTATTTGTACAACTTTTCTATTTATGGCACACCTTTGGCTGTTGGGTCAACTATAAAAAAAAAGGAAACAACTTTTACATCTGCGTTAACCAGGCTGATAATCACGCAGACCCGCCCATTCCACTGAAATGCCTGAATAGCTGCGCGTGTGCGTCATCTTTTTGTCGGATACGGATAAGTAGTGTGAGAACCTGGCAGGACTCATTTTTCTAGCTTTCAAAGTTGAAATAATATTTATAATCTGCTCAGCGGCCCGCAGATGGGTTGCTCTTTATAATTAAATTAGAGGGAAGTCATTAAAATTGTTGGCTGACAATTCTATTTTCGTTACTGAACATATAGTATTAAGAGAATTATATTTTGTCTTCGATATTAAACAACAAAACCATTGAAATAAATAAAACAAAATCAATATAAATCACTTATAGTATATATTGCTTGTAGTTAGCAGTAAGCAGTTGGTAGGTTTTAGCTAATCTGATGTAAATAGTAACTAGCAAATTATTTATGGAAGTAGTAAATTATAACTAAAATGTGGCACCTGGGAAATAGTATTAATTAAGTAACTATAATAGTTAATAACTAAAACCGTTTTCTTTCATATTAAGCAAAAGTACCATTCAAATAAAAAACACCAATATAAATCACTTATATAATGTACTAGTAGTTAGCAGTAAGTAGTTAGTAGGTATTACCTAATCTGATGTAAATAGTAAGGAGCAAAAAATATATATAGCTGTTTTAAGTAATAACTAAAATGTGGTAACTAGTAAGTGATATTAATTAAGTAACTATAGTTAATAAATATTTAATAATTAATACTTACAAAATAGCAAGTAATTGACAGTTAGTAGTAAGCAGTTAGAAGTAAGTGGTAAGTAGCAAGCAGTAAGTAGTTACTGGTAAGTGGCAACTATTCAGTTGTAAATAGAGTAAATGGTAAGCAGATAGTGGCTGCTGGTAAATAAGAACCAGTTACTAATCACACACATTTATTTGCGAATTTAAATTGAATAGCGACTGTTACCTATTAAGTTGTAAATTCTAAGATAATCATAACAATCTAGTAAGTTAAGTAGTCACCATTCATTTATTTTTAAAGTTAAATTTAAAATTATTTAAGAGTGCCTATATTGAAAAAGTAACTGACTTTAGTGCCTTGTACCATCCTGCTGGTCCAATATATAGTATGTAGGAGTGTAAGTATGATGCTGGCAGAGCTGTGCTTCCTGTGTGTTGTTTAATTGTTAGTTGGCCGCAGCGCGTGCCTGGGTTTTGTTTTTTTTTTTTTTTTTTTTTTGCATCCGGACACGCTAATTAAAAGTTCATGAATTGCAGTTAACCAGAGGCGCTACAGTTTTTTGTTGTTAGTGCAAAGTTTTTGATTGTTGCGGTTTAAAGTTGGGCGTGTAGTTGAAAATGCAAATTGTTTTTTTTAGGTGTATTGAATTTTAAAATAAAGTTAATGAGCCGTTGCCATTATATAAATATATATTTATTCACTTAGAGGCTGTTTGCTGATGTCAAACAGTTAATGATTTGTTTAACCACACTTGACATGTTTTGTGGCTATCACACATACACACACACACACATACACCCACACACATGCACATTGCATGTCATATAAAATGTCAAACCAGAGTCAACCTTTTGTCTTGCCCTCCTCCTGGGTGCGTGTGTGTGTGTGTGTGTTTGCCGTAACTTTTGCTACGCTTTGATGAATGTAATTAATTAAATGCTTGTTTTAATGTCAGCCCATTCTACCCCTCCCCCCTATCACTCAGTGTGTGTGTGTGTGTTTGCGGTCATAACTTATATGTGGTCTGTATTGATTTTCTGTAAATGATTTCAATGCCACCACAACCACAAACCCACCGATTCCAGTTCGACATCAACTGCAGTGATAAATATATGTCAGTTGTTATATAAATACATACATATGTATACACATATTTGTTTGCAATATGCAAATCATCCTTTGCTGTGTTAGCGCAAAACAAATTGAGTTAACTGAGGGCTAGATTGTGATTAGCATTTGGCATGTTGACGGCGTTTTTGTTTGCCAGCAGCTGTCAATTTTGTTAAACAGTTTACGGGCAATCCTTTCTTCATTTGTTATCATTACTTATAATAGCCTACTGTCGTTAGAGCATCTTGTTTTGATTATATTTAGAACTGCTTGAGTGTTTTACAATATATTTTAATTAAATTGTGCTGCTTTTGTGTTCATGATAGTGAAGCTCAACTGCTTCCAGCTTAATAATTAATTTTGTGGCAGCAGCAAGGAAATTATTCGAGCACTTCACTCATTTGTTTATAAAGCTGCAGCTAATATATCAGCTTTATTTATAATGCAAATAGCATGTAATATAAATTATACTATTGTATATATTACTAGAATAAATGAATATTGTTAATACAATTTTGTATTTATATTTATTTTTTTGCTAGTAGAGAATAGTTTTAGAAGTACTAGAAATAAAATGACATTGAGCTTAAGCTATGATCCACCTACTCTAGCTGACTTCTGCTTATTGAGTCCTATCCAACCTATTAAGTGCAATGCCTGTCAACTATATTTAATTTAAAAGCTAACGAGCATGTTAAATGAGTTGTAATTTTGTTGTAATTTGGCTGTAATGCGATATCATAAAAAACGAACTTAGTTAAAATGCGTAATTGAACTGTTTCTGTAATTAACAACAGCAATTATCCAACCTTAATTTTTGGAAATCTACACCATATTATCCTAATTGTGTGGACATTGATATCTGCGCACAGAAAACATTCGATTCGCAACTTTAATATCTTAAAACGCAACTCAGTTTTGTATCCACAATAAGACTCACGTGCTTTTTCGAATTTATAGAATTTATGGCAGTCTGGTTGGCTCTAATCTTTGCACGTGCCCAATGGCACACTCACCTAATCAAATTAAAAGCCACATTTAATTATGCGGCACACAAAAAACAACAACCAAAGTTGCGGGAGAATCTCGCATGAAATTTGTGTGCGCGGCCATTAGACAAAGTGCCTGAAAAGCCTGAGCTCGAAAAACGAAGCGAAAATTTCAATGAGAATTGCCACGCGCAAAATATTTTATGCTCCAGTCAATGGCCGGCTTTAAAATGGCCAAAGATAGCCCTTTATTTGGGACCCAAAGTCGAAATGTGCCTTGGAAAACTTGCTAATTGATTGCTTCCCACTGCCTAGGGCGAAGGATTAATAAGGGGGTGTGGAAGGGGGAATGGGGGAGGTACTCAAGCGTGGGTTCAAATCTTAATTATGCCACAAAATAAGCAAATAGACATAAAATATTTTGGTGGGTTATCCTCAAAACCAAATACGACTGCAAATTAAATCAAATATGCGAATGGCGTTGGCAATCAAGTTTGGCGGGGAGTCCAATAAAAGTGAAATTTATGGAAAATTGGAAATTGGAAGAAAAAAATTTTGTATTTTAGTGAAAATGTTTAGTTGAATAAATTGATTAAAATTGATTACACAAGGACTGTCAGCATATAAAAATATATTTACAACGTGGTTTTGATGTGCATGGAAATCATATGAACACTAATCTATTTAAAAAAAATATATATATATTAAGCCACACAGAATATAATTATCAATTTAGCTGGCCCGTGTCAGCAATCAGTCTATAAAATAATAAGTGGTGCCACGAAAATACGTCAGATATCGATTCATCGCAAATGTCATCATTGTGCGGAATTTTATAAGATTCTCACACAAACATGAGTTCAAAAAAATAAATTTAATATATTAATAAAGTATAATATATCGTTTACGTATCATATAATAACCCACACGCCATGTACATTAATACAACGAGAGAAGTTATTAAGGATTTCATAATTAAATCGATACCAAAATTTCGACAAGAAAAATGTCAGTTCCGATTTTTTTTTAATCGAGTAAAATCTTGATTTCAGACTGTTTTAATCTTGTTTCGGCTTAACCTGATATTTTATTTAAAAACTATGTTAGTATGAATGTATGAACCCCGACAACTTTTAAATCTGAACAGATAGGTACATCAAACTTGGCGTGTAGACTTATATTATGCATATGCAGAGCAAGTT